ACGATGGTGAAGTAAGTAAAACAAGCACCGTAGAGCATGAGAATAAAACATGAATAACTGCTGAAAGATACTGAGAATGCGCATATGAACTCTTTTTACTGTTGGTACGCATAGCTCATTCAATGCCTCGCGGCTACACTTCGTTTTAGCATCTTAAGTACCTTTTAAGTGGTAAAGAATAAGAATCACAGACCTAGGCATAAGACGTAATAGCTTTCGATGTCATTTTATGAGGCTAGTGAAATTTGCAAAGTTGATATGAAAGGTAGATAAAAAGACTATGCCTCGTCTTTTACGGCGTGCTTCATATTTGATATGAGGAAAACTTATTTCTGACTTTTCTAAATTTGTTGCAGTCGAAGAGTCTCATGCACCGAGAATACGATATGAAAATGGCTATACATTTCAACTCTCTCATTCATGACGGTCTCTGAATGAAGATTGACTGATAAACTGTTCAGCGATGTAACATCGAAATAAAGTGAATTTTAACAGAGTTCCTTGAGCAGCTCCCAAAACCCACAGTGCTGTGGTTTTTGAGTCCGCACGTATTTTATTATTATCAATTGTTTTGTAGTTAGAAACGATATTAGTGTTAGTCAAGGTGCAGGTTTAATGATATTGTTTTTCAAAGTTGCGTTTAGAGAAACGATAGTCATAGTTGCGCCCGCTGAAGCATCTATTTCAATGATATATCAGGTGCCTTTGTCTGTTGGTGCGCAAATTCCAACGGAGCGCTCTCTTCGAGTCTCAGTAGCTAAAATCTAAAATGATCTAATTGCAAAAAGCGTTCGCTGCTCTGGAACGGTGAAGCGAGTTCGACGTAGTTATTCGCCTCACTTCGGCGATGACTCACGGGGATCATTTTTTTCCTCAGAGCAAATGGTTGCAGCATCTCATCTAAGTTCGACATAGTCGGTGGAGGAAGGGCCCACCGAACTGTTGCTGCAAGCGAACAGCCGCGCTCTTTGCACGTGCTAGAATCAGCAGCGCTTGACACCTCTTCATTCGGCTCTGGACAGATCTATTTTCGCTTCCATTATGCTTTGAGCGTTTTTCCATAGGCGGATAAACTGGCTCTACACATGCTAGTCAGAAACATTCATCTCCTGTTCCCATGACAACTGACCAATCATTTATTTATGATCTGCTCTCCTATTGATTTTCGTTTTTGTTCGCTGATACTGCATGTTTGAAGCAGACTGACGTCCAATTTGTACGTTCAGGTTCATTCGAAACGTAGAAATGCTTCTGATGATAGATTAATTCTTAACTTTATTCCCATTATTGATGACATGGCTAAACTACACGTGATTGTGTAAATCACTTTTACATCAGACATTTAAATTCGGGTGAATCGAGAAATGGTTTATCGTTTACTCAGTCAAGTCATATTCATTCATTTACCAGTCCAGTAATTTGATGATATGCGCGATCTCTGCGCCGTTTTCACTTTCCAGCTTTAAAATCCGTAGTTTAATCTGCTTTTCGAATTTTTTTAGTGTTCAAAACAGTGAATGATGAGAACAGTTGAAATTGCAACCACTGGCCAGAGCTATGGATG